GAGCGCATCGATCCAAGGGTTTAGAAAGAGGCCCGTTCCAGTGCGAAAATACAAGCGGACTACTTGGCATTGCTGACCTTCAGGATTTGGTGTTGAACCGTACAGATCGTCATCTAGCATATAAGAATACGTCACAAGGTTCACTTTGGCGGGAGAGGGAGGCAAGGCGTCGATCTGATGCTTGTGGTAGGTGCGGAGGATCTCGGTCCCTTCCTTGTACGTCCATATCATTTCCCCGGCCTACATTGAGAACGGCATGCGGATCAATGTGAGATGCAAAGGGTAGGTCGCAAATAATGAGGAAGAAAGAAGAACCCAACGCGGGGGGACATACATGCGTACCTTGATTGTTTCCTTGGCAAAAATTCCACGACATTCAAATCCGTACAGATTGTGATAACGTACTTCAACTTTGTCAACTAACATGGTGTACGGGTGGGACTGTCTATGTATTTAGAAAAAAGAAAGACCTTGTCCCCTTCCTCAGGACGAATGAACTCCAAACGGATAAATTTCTCGCCGTCCCGCTCCTCTTCCCGGCGTGGCTCCTCTTCTTCCACCTAGCAACATGTGCAACACGGAGTGAGAGCGTACCATTACAAAGCGAGCCGCAAGCAGGACTTTGGAAACTGAAAAAGGGTAGGGTAAGAGGCAAAGTACTTTTCTCCAAGGAACTTGATAACAGCAAATTTTAGCGATGACGGGCAATAAGCAGGGCGGTGTGTCGGACGAACACTGCGATGCAAACACGCACGAAAGCACCTGGTTTTGAAAAATCGGACAAGAGTCATATAGCAGCGGATGCCGGGGTCTGGCAAGAAGCCAGCGAGGGATATGGCCTGTTGCTTGTTATATTTTGTCCCTTCTCCACGAGCCACATCTCACGAGGAAAGCTTCCGACCCCCCTAAGAGACCTGTCCGAGTCTCTTTTTACCTTTCTCATAAAACCTGTGTTTAAGTCCCGATAACTTCAAATTTAAACGTATGTACTTCTCATAACCAAGGTACTTTATGGATTCTTCTTCGCAAGTCGGCTGAATAACATCAACTTCGGAAACTTCACGTCGTCGCCCCTCAAGTTGTCTAATAATTTCCTGGTCGATTTTCTTCATGGATACAAACATGCAACAATCTTCCTGCTTTGTTATAAGAAGTCTTTACAATTCTTCCTCATCGTCGCCACCTTGATCCGCCCCTTGACATTCCTCCCATAAAATTATGGCATGAACATTGGATTTGAAAATATGATACAACAAAAAGTCCACATGCGATTTATCACAGTACTTCTTCACATTTTGGAGCTGACTTGTGAGCTTCAGTCATTCTTATGTGAAGTGTTCTATCGAAACTCAGGCTGAGTGCTCAATTTCCGTGGATCTTGGTACACGGCAGCCACGGGACCTCAATAATTACATCAATGATCCCGCCAAATGCCTCGTTATGTGAAGATACCTCTGTCCAACATAGTATCTTCATGAATTTGAATTGTCTCGCTGGCTCCCAAAGAGATGTGCGGGGGACGTAAGTCGTATGCACGTGATTATCTGAGTAGTAGACCAGCTTATGACATCGCTCCCACCAAGGGTGGCTGGAAATGCCTTCGTGTTAATTGTGAATTACTTTTTATCGATGCGACTTATCTATATGGTAAGGATTCATGAAGCCGGATCCTATCGTATAAATAGGTCGCTGCACAGAAAGCGGTGAGTTACATTGTCGAAAACTGATATTTGAAATAAAAATGAGGTTGCATCCGCAGGGTCACAGGGCCATAGATTCAAGGTGTTAAATTGTGAAAACGATTTTTCTTTGTATTTTTTTGTGATTTGGAGATAGACTGTGAGATAATTTCTTCTTAAACGTTGGTTGTGGGAGGAGCAGACGGACGCCGGCATTAACCTCCTAGGACATGTCCCCTCAGGCAAAGTCCAAAACAGTAACTACTCCGTACAAGCCCACCCTTCCTTATGAGTTTTATATGTAATTTGAATTTACATGAAGATATAGTAGCAGTGAATCCCTGTCGGATTTGTGGGCGTTGTTGAGCTTGCTTTGTCTTTCTGCGGGACTGTACCGGGGCTACCCGACGTAACGTTTTTTTGAAATTCCAAAAGTTGAAATGTGAGCGGTTGCCTCCTGTCTGCCGATTCGCAGCTCCTTTTTTCTTCGTTTCGATGAGATCTATTCTGTGGACAGCTCACCCCTATCTATGACTTACTGCATAGATTACTGCATTAATTATGCCTACCCAATCTTGAGCCCAAACTTAACATACTTTGCATTGTTTCAGACATTTCACAGGTTCCATCGTCAGCTCGTCCTTTATTTGTGAAACGTCTGCTCCTCCACCTTGCAAGCCTTTCCGGCATGTTTGGTCCTCACCAAGCATTCTCATCCCCACATACGCTTAATCGTCGAATACATGCGACAGAGAGACATCCGACGATCACCTTACCCGGGGCGCCTCGGTTGCACTGTTTTCAGAAGGGCAAATCCTTCGCGACTCTTCTCAAAGTGGAGGGTTTTCTTTCCGCACCTATTATTCGACACAAAGAACCGGCTCACAAATACAGACGCTCAAAGCAAACATTTTCTCCTCAGCTCTACGATGACAACATTCACAACCGATTTAAGCCCCAGGCCCCTCCCATCAAAGGCGGAGTCCCTTCGCCTCTCCGTAGAACGCCCATCAAAGGCGGAGTCCCTTCGCCTCTCCGTAGAACGGAGGAAGAACGTGTCTTTCGTTACCCTAGACAAGTGAATACAAGCGTTTCTCCACCTTACGTAGGTCCGTCTATTGTATGTCATCGTCCAGCTGCGCCCCACACGCGAAACGACAAGAACAAGACTCCGCCAGATGAGAAGGGCGTTCTGTCCACCAGAATATCACAGCTTCTTCCTCGCCGGGATCCCTCACATCACCATTCACCAACATTTCACTCCCGACCAAGCGCCGACAAATCTGCGAAATCAAAAGTTTCTTGCGCTCCTCCGGTGGGTACTAGCCCATTTCGGCAAGCCTACGAACGCGGCACTCTCCCGGCCGGCATCCGGCACCATCGGGAGGCGGCCCATATCGCCTCGCTCACCCCCCAGGCCTCATCTTTGAGGCTTCATTGGTACATCCACCCCATGAAGTTGGACTATCGCGTGGTCTTGCCCCTCTTTTTAGAAGGGTTGCGCGAGGTGAAAGACCCGTACAGGTACTTGGCTGTGCGGGGAAGCATGGATTTGATCGCCGCCTGCCCCTCCAAGCTCGTGGCTTGTATGCCCTTTCTGCTTCCCCCTTTGAAACGAGCCCTCGACACGCGCCATCCGCTCATCCTTGCAACCAGTCTGACCGTTCTGCAGGAGTTTATTCTGGCAGATCCGAGCCGGATTGGCCCGGCATTAGTCCCTCATTACCACCAACTATTAGGGGCCTCCGCCGTCATCAACAAGCAGACCTATGGGAACGAGGACAGAAAAGGGGAGATGGCAAGCTCCCAACGTCGGTTGTGCGTGACAGATCTCATGAATGAGACACTGACGCTTTTGGAAATCACGGGCGGAAGAGATGCCTTCCTGCACATTCGTTACATGGTGCCGACATACGACTCGGTCTTGCAACAGGGGGTCAGGAGTATATGGTGAGGGAGGTTGGAGAAAGGGAGGGCAAAGAGGAAA